CCAAAGAGCCGCATGCGGCTCACGAGCCACAGTTTGCCGACCACTGTCCTAGAGTAATTCCCTCCTCTCCTCCCATTCACGCTGGAGGCAGGTAAAGTGTGGGGACAGGGCCGTGTGCGCCCCACCTACAGAAGGAAGCTGAGGTCCAGAGAGGAGTCAGGGAGGGGTCTCACCGGGAGCGAGTCAGTGGCTGCACTGGCTTTGAAGGTCAAGGCTCTGGAGCCGTCTTCAGCGCGGACTTCATGCAAAGGGAAGACCGAGAGGAGAGATGCTTCCTTCCTTCCATGCGTGGGGCGTGGGGTCTTGGGAGGAGGGCTGCTGCGGGCGGGCCTGGGAGGAAGGGTCCCCTCATTCCGCTGTCCTCCCAGCATCCTGAGGGAAATGGCGCAGTTTGCTATTCTGATGAGTGATGTGATTCTGCAAGTGACGCGTGTTTCAATTGGGCCACGAGAGAGTTGATATTCACTTGCATGGATTAGAGCAGTGGTTCTCAACCTGTGGGTCGCGACCCCTTTGTCGGTCGAACGACCCTTTCACAGGGGTCGCCTAAGACCATCCTGCATATCAGATATTTACATTACGATTCATAACAGTAGCAGCATTACAGTTATGAAGTAGCAACGAAAATAATTTTATGGTTGGGTCACAACATGAGGAACTGTATTTAAAGGGCCAGAAGGTTGAGAACCACTGGATGAGAGGGTCCCAGGTGATTTCGCAGGTGGGAGCCGTGCTGGGTGCCAGCACGTGACGTTAGAAGCTGTGTCCGCTGCCGCTGGTCACCCCACAACGGGACGTCACTGGTCTGTGCTGTGAGCTGCTCCAAAGCCCAGGGGAGTCTCGGAAGCCAGATGAAGGGAGAGGGGAAACCAGCCACAGTTGAGTCTGAAACCCGTCCTCTGCTTCGGAAACTGGTTTCCCTCTGGTTTTACAGCTTAAAGAGAAGATACTAGGCAGTTTCAAAGGGGGAGACCACATTGATGTGTAAATACTTTGTGTGTCTCTGAAATTCATAAAAAATATTAAGGAAACTTTTGTTCAATGACTGTTACATACAAGATACTTACAGAAATAAGGTATTTGTGTCTCCTCTCAAGAACTCCCAGTGGACCTCACCATCGAGTGTTCGGTACCATAACTTAGCTAAGAGCATCCAAGCCTGAGGTCGGTGTGGCAGGCAGGCGTCTGTCCTGGAGGTGCTGGCAGGATGACTGCAGATCGGGCGGGTTTCTCTTTGGGAGGGGATGGGAGGGGATGGATGGCTGCTGAACTGTGAGCGGGAGAGAGCGGCCCCACCTCCGGCTCCCAGCTGGAGTGCTCCTGGTGTAGCCTTATTGGTTTGTTGTGGACAGGAATCTCCCAGTGTTAAGCTGTGAACTTTCCAAAGGGTGTTACGACTTATTGCTACTTTTTTGGATGTTCTCCTTTTTTATTTCTTTAAGATTTCAAACCAGTGGTGCAAACTCTGGAAACAGCAGAACTGAGAGGAGATGCAGCGTGGACACGGGTGGGGCTGGGGCTGGATTTGGACGTGCGGTTGGATGGGAGAAGTCACTGTGCACTGTCCTGGTTTCCTGCAGGTTGACGAAGCCCTTGTCGTTTGCTGACTGTGTTGGGGATGAGCTGCCGTGGGGCTGGGAAGCCGGGTTCGACCCCCAGATTGGCGTCTACTACATCGACCACATCAACAGTAAGTGTTCCTTTGCGGGAGAAGCGGCCGTATGGGAAAGTGCTCCCCCCTCCTCCCCCCCATCCGGAGCCCGCAAAAGAGGAGACCGTTCGCAGAGTGGTTCTTTATGTCAGCCCCCACCCTCTCATGACTGATATTCAATGGGACGTCCAATTTGGAGTTTAGGGCATGTGTGTAGAGGTGGGGTTATGGGGGCAGAGAGAAAAAGTTTTTTTTTTTTTTTTTCCCCCCCCCCCCCCCCCCCGCCCCGGCAGGGAGTGAGTTTTCCTCAGTGCAGGGCTGGCGCCTCTTATCATG